ACCAGAAAGGACCAGAGGAGACAGGCAGGGACCAGGAAAGACCAGAAAAGACAAACAGAGACAGGCAGGGACCAAGAGAGACCAGAAAAGACAAACAGAGACAGGCAGGGACCAGGAGAGACCAGAAAGGACCAGAGGAGACAGGCAGGGACCAGGAGAGACCAGAAAGGACCAGAGGAGACAGGCAGGGTCCAGGAGAGACCAGACAGGACCAGAGGAGACAGAGAGGGACCAAGAGAGACCAGAAAGGACCAGAGGAGACAGGCAGGGACCAGGAGAGACCAGAAACGACAAACAGAGACCAGCAGGGACCAGAAAAGAACAGAAAGGACAAACAGAGACAGGCAGGGACCAGAAAAGAACAGAAAGGACAAACAGAGACAGGCAGGGACCAGGAGAGACCAGAAAGGACCAGCAGGGACCAGACAGAACATTTTACACAAATACAAATCTAGATTTGTAAACTCAAACATGAAACAGATCTGCAGACACACAAACTTGTAATGGAGTACTCCCACAGTGTAGTCTGAGTACTTGTCCTGCGGGACATGAGCTCGTGTCCGTCCGATGATAACACACACAGAGCCAGTATGACATGAGGGGCCCTGCGATAAGGAGCCACAGTAAACACCGAGCAGGAGAGGACGTGACACCTGACAGTGACCTCTGAGTGCGGGCTGCAGCCTGCAAGGACACCAACATGCGGGCAGCGGAGCCAGCATGAGTCCGGGTCTGAGGGAAGATGGCGGGCTGTTTGAACGACCCCAGCTTTATTTAAAACAACAGGGCTGACAGCAGAGTGAAGAGCGAGCGGGGAAAGAGGAACCATAAGTCCGCAGCTTCCTCTGTGGAGCAACCAGCTGACAGCTCGCGGCCAGTTCCTACAAGACACTCAACAGCCGCTGTGCTCGGACAACATCCCGCCCCCTGCCCGCCTCTCATTGGCTGCAGCTCCGCTGCCGCGCCTCCTATTGGCTGCCCGCCCCGTCAGTCGCTGACAGCTAGCATCAGAGACAGATAACACTTTCTCTCCCTCGGGGCGAATTCAACTGGAAACTACTGTAAAACGTCGCGTGGAGAGCGCGAAGCTAGCTACGAGAGCGCGTGGAAAGTCGCGTAACTCACCCGCTAACGTGTTTCAGTGCCGCTCGTGGAGAATTCCGCCATAAACCGACACGCCGTGAACTTTTTAACAAGTTGACCGGGAGACTCTCTGCCCCACCTCACCCACGGACTACACACACAGATCGTCTGCTCACCTGAAGAGGAATCACTCCGCGGCTGGAAAACTAGCTACGAGCTAGCATAGCCCGCTAGCACAGCCGTTACCAAGGCGACGCGTTGAGTTATCGCGCTCCACAGAACACGTACAAAACTTTAACACGTACGAAACTTTTAGTGTTGTATGATTGATATTAAAGCTCACACAGACTGCAGGATGTGACGTAAAATGCGGCCCCTTCTCCGCACAGCTCACGGACTGATGAACCCGGGAAACACACACCGAGTGAGACCTCTGTCGTTTTGCCTCCTCTCAGATAACAGTAACAGGAAGTGACGTCACGGAATTCCTTGTTTTCTTTAAAGGCTTTTTTTAAATTGGGGAAATTCTTTATTTACAAACAGAACTTTTTAATATTCAAAATAATAAATATATTTTTTAAAATTAACTTAATTAATATGACAAGTTGATACATTCGTTTTATTGTTGTTCACATTATTTTTAATTTTTCCACATATTTAAGACCGTTATGTTACCCTGAAGGCACTCGTTAATCATTAGCCTTTTGTTTTATTTAGGGACTGTTCTTTATTTGTCAGATGATGAGGGGTGGATGGGTGTAACTTTTTTTTTTTTTTTTTTTTTTGCTTCTTTTAAGGGACTGTTCTTTAATGATCATAGGACAGGGGGTGGTTGAGGCAAGACTTAAAAAAATTTTAGGGACTGTTCTTTATCAATTAGAGCATGAGGGGTGGCTGGGGTGTGACTTCGTTTTTTTGTTGGTTTTTTGCTTTTATTTAGGGACTGTTCTTTACTTATTAGAAGCAGGTGGCTGCAGTGGGACTTTTTTTGCTTTTATTAAGGGACTGTTCTTTATTTATCAGATGATGAGGGGTGACTTTCGGTTTTTGTTTTTTTTTTGTGGGGGGGGTTTCTTTCATTTAGGGACTGTTCTTTAATGATCATAGGACAGGGAGTGGCTGAGGCATGACTTAAAATTTTTTTAGGGACTGTTCTTTATCAATTAGAGCATGAGGGGTGGCTGGGGTGTGACTTCGTTTTTTTGTTGGTTTTTTGCTTTTATTTAGGGACTGTTCTTTACTTATTAGAAGCAGGTGGCTGCAGTGGGACTTTTTTTGCTTTTATTAAGGGACTGTTCTTTATTTATCAGATGATGAGGGGTGACTTTCGGTTTTTGTTTTTTTT